TCTCCGCCGCGGTGCGGGCGAAGGAGGGCGGACGGTGGCGATACGATTTCATGACGATGAACGTCACTCTCGGCGTGGGGGCCGCCGCCGGCTTCGCGGCGCTCTCCGTAGGCAGGAAGCGCTGGACATGGATGCGGCGTCACCCTGTGGGCGGCCTTGCCGTCAGCCTGCTTGTCTTCCTCACCGCCACGGTAGCGTCCCGCCAGGCCATCAGGGTCCTCGGTGTCGGGGTGGTGACGGCGCACAATAGCCACAAGAAGGCTCTTACGCAGCTCAACTGCGCCGACTGCTTCGACGATGTCAACAGCTACACTGCCCAGCAGGTGGAGGAGCTGCAGAAGCAGGAGCTGCCGCGGCAGCCAGGTATGCCCCCGCCGCCGGAGGAGTTTGTGCGGCGTTTCGAGCGGGGTACGCAGCTGCAGGTGAAGCTGCTGCAGGCGGACATTGATGAGGTGCGGGCGGCAAAGCGGCGCATCGGTGCCCACCTCTGTGATGTGCACCGCCACCTTCGCGAGGACGCGACGTACGCGGATACAGCCATCCTGCCGATCTCCCGTGTAGACGTCCAGCGTGCCAGCGAACGCGCCCGCGCTGAGGCAGCGGCGGCAAAGACGGATTGAGAAGGGGGAAAAAAGGGAATGAAGGAGGAAGTGGAAGAGGTAAGGAAGGAAGGGAACAAGGGGTGATGGTGGCTGTGGGGCGAATGAGGAGGAAATCGAGGAGGGAACGTCGTAGATACACGTCATGTGTGTGTCTTTCTTTCTTTCTTTCTCTGCGTGGGTTGCGCCTGCCACCATCCTCCTCCTTGGTGTTGGAGTTTACCGTCGCTTCTTGGCTCGCTCTCACTCTTTCTCTGTGTGGTCAACGTTTCCCGTGCCGTACCCACACTAGAAGAGAAAGATAAAAAGATAGAGCGGGCCGCGGCGGTATGCCATTTAGGCGGCAGCAGCAGCGTGTCTTTGATGTCCTTGTCGTTGGGGCCGGGGCCGCAGGTTGCGCCCGCGGTACGCGCGATTCCGCTAAGGCATCCCCACGCGATGGTTGGCCTCGTTGAACAGGTCACGTGGCGGTCACTGCCGTTTATAATGCGGGTGTCGCTGCTGATGCCTCCGTCGCCTCGGTGCGCAGCACCCAGGCGTTTTGCTCAGGTACCGGGCGGACAGCGGGGGAGGGCATCGGTGGGCGGCAGCTGGCGTACGTGCGGGGCCGCGGCGTTGGCGACAGCAGCTGCTGCGGCCACATGCGGTACCTGCGCGGGACGGCGGCTGATTACGCGGCGTGGGGGTACCAGGCGTAGTCATTTGAGCACTTGCTTCCGTTTTTCCGCGTACTGGAGTGGAACTCGCGGGGGAGCTCCGCTGCACACAGCGAGAGGGCGGCCCACTACACGTCACCGACGCCCCGCCGGCGAACGTTAGCTTGGAGCTTAACATCCGGTGGTTCGAGGCCTGCAGGGCGCTCGGTATCCCCCGAGACGCCGGACTTCAACGCCGGTGTGGCGGACGGCATCTCGGCCCTGCAGTCGCTTGCCGCGATGGGGGTGCGGGTGGGATGTCTGGATGTCTTCGACACCCTCCTAGAGCGGGGCCGCCACCTACTGCCGAACTTGACGGTCCTAACGGAAACGCGGGCGCAGCGGATTCTGTTTGACGCAGCACGCGTGACGGGGGGTTGAGGTCTGCGTGGGACGCGACGCGGAGGTGCTCGCCACCTGCCGCGTCGTCACATGCTTGGGGGCGCTCGAGTCACTGGCGCTGCTGCAGCGCAGTGGCATGGGGGCGTGCGGCAGCGTTGTGGAGCCCCCCGAGGTAGGCGGGAACCTCATCCAGCTCAGCGCCGCCACTATCGTCTTCGGTGTCGCCTCTGGCGCCAACCTGCACAGCAAGCCCATGAGCTGGCGCAATGCCCCGTATATGTGGCGCCAGTGGCCTGAGTACAACGAGGATGGCACCGGCGTCTTCGCCTCCCTCGCAGAGGCCGTTTTCTTCGTGGGCTCGACGCCGGCGGCGGCGTCACCAGATCTTTCACTGACCTTCTTTGCGACCCCCAACGTGCTGTGGTGCGGGTGGCGGCCATTTGACGGGTTTGCGGTTCGGGTGGCGCACCACTACTCAGAGAGCCGCGGGGAGGTCGACGTGGTCGACGTGCACCGCCTGCGCATCACCAGCCGCATGTTTGCCGTGCAGCACGACGTGCAGTGCATGGATGAGGGCGTACGCTGGGTGGGTTCGCTGGTGACCGACGCACGGTACGCGCATCATACGGATGCCCAGGGGCGGCCTACCTCACCGTTCGCCTCGCTCGGTGTGCACGTGCGCCACCCGCGGAGTGCCCTGCACACGCAGCGAGGGGCCGCCGCCTTTTTGGCGCAGTATGCTTAGGGGACCTGGGACCTCTTCGGCACCTGCGCGCTGGGCAGAGTTGTCCATGGCGCGCTGCGTGTTGGGGGCGTGGACGGGCTGCTGGTGGAAGACGCCAGCGTTGTTCCGGCCCCAAGCTGCGGCGCCAGTGGCGTCATTGGCGCAGCCATCGGGGGACGCGCGGCGTCGCTGCTGCAGGTGTAGCATTCCTACTTCCGTCTCTGCATGGAATTTTTCCTCTACACTTTCTTTCTTTCTACGCCAGTCTGTGTGTATGTTCTGCTGTTCCGTCATCCTTGTCACTTTTTTTAAAAAACTTTTTGTGGTGAACATTATTCTTTCCCGCTGCGTGTTGTGGCTGCATGCGGCGTGGAAGTGCGGGCGCAAGCCAGACGTGCTGAAGAAACGGAAAATAAAAAGAAAAGAGAGGAGTGAGGCGTCTTTGACAACAACAGACCAAGTAAGAAGAAAAGGAGAACGACGACTTTTGAAGCGCGGCGCTCACCCGCCGACAAATAGACACAGAGAGGCAAACTCACAGGGAGTGACGCAACAGCGGTGGCGGCTGGCCTCGTGAACAACTGGCGCACCGAATGTCCCAGCAGGTGGTGCCGTGGGTGGAGAAATACCGCCCGCAGTCTATGGCGGAAATTGTCGGCAACGCCGACGCCGTTGCGCGGCTGCAGGTGATCGCGAATGAGGGCAATCTGCCGAACCTGCTGCTTTGCGGCCCGCCGGGGACCGGTAAGACCACAAGTATGCTCTGTCTGGCCCGCGCGCTGCTTAGCGACCAGGACGGCGGCGGCACAACCGCTCTTAAGGAGGCCGTGCTGGAGCTCAACGCTAGCGACGACCGCGGCCTGGACGTGGTGCGGGAGAAGATAAAGCTATTTGCCCAGACAAAGAAGACGCTGCCGCAGAAGGTCAACGCGAGCACGCGGCAGAAGATCAACCTCCACAAGATTGTGATTCTGGACGAGGCGGACAGCATGACGCCGGCGGCCCAGCAGGCTCTGCGTCGCACGATGGAGCTACACTCCAGTACCACCCGCTTCGCCTTTGCCTGCAACAACAGCCACAAAATCATTGAGCCAATTCAGTCGCGATGCGCTGTGGTGCGCTTCAAGAAACTTACACACGCCGACATATTGAAGCGGATCACGTACATTATTCAGCAGGAAAACGTCACTTACACGGATGACGGGCTAGAAGCGTTGCTGTACCTTGCGGAGGGGGACCTTCGCTCGGCCGTGAACGCCCTTCAGGCGACCCACTCCGGCTACGGTATGGTAAACGCGGAAAACGTTTTCAGGGTCTGCGACCAGCCCCACCCGCTGCTTGTGGAGAACATCGTGGAAAGCTGCGTTCAGAAGCAGGATCTGGTGGGCGCACACAAGGAGATGCAGCGGCTACTGGGCCGCGGATACGCGGCTTCGGACGTCATCTCTACCTTTTTTAAGACGGCACAGAATTTTAAGCTCTTCCGCAACGAGCAACAACAGCTGGCGGTGCTACGCATCATTGGGGAAACCACCATGCGCATTGCCGAGGGCGTGGGAACCCCGCTGCAGCTTGCCTCAATGCTGGCTCGGATCACCATGGTCAGCGCAGAATGAGGCAATGACGTGTGTGACTGTGCATATGTATGCATGTGTGTATGACGGGAACTTGTTAGTGCTGCCCCCCGCGCCACATTCACCTATGCGCACTATCGTGCTTTCTGATATATATATATATGGGCCGCGGTCTGCTGGTGAAGGCGGCTTCACTGGAGGTGGTGGCCACGGCAATTATATATATATATATATATAAAGAAACGTTAATGCTGCTGCTGCTGCAGGTGGTTATGAAGGGTGTGTGTGGGTGGAGGGAGGCGTTGCTACAACGCATCGGCGGTCGCTCATTGGCGATGGTGGGCATGTGTACAGGGGGCACGAGGACAAAATAGCAGCAGGCGAAGAGAGAGGGATAGAGAGCTGAAATGTCCTTTTTTTTTTTTTGCTGCTTCTTTGTTTTTGTGTGTGGCTGTATTGTTGATTGCCATTGACATTCTTGTTTTTGCTTGCCGCTGCTGCTGGGCGGGGCGGGGGTGTCATGCTCTCCTGGTGAGTTGGGGTGGCGTGCCGCCACTTTCTCTGCCTCATCCGCTCACCCATTTTCCATTTTTTAAACTCCTTGTTTTTTTTTCCCTCCTTATAGCTGCATACATAACTATATATATATATATATATATATTTGTGCTGTGCGGCAGAGTGGGGGGTGCGTGCGAGTAATGACGTCGTACGCCGAGCTCCTCGCCGCGTGCACGGAGTTTCAGGAGAATTTTGCCAGTCTCAACGGGAAGTACAACGCCGCGGCGCAGGAGCTGCAGAACGCGCGGGCTGCGAATGAGCGGCTGTCGAAGCAGCTTACGGTGATGCGGGAGGGTGAGGACAGACTTCAGGGGACCATTCGTGAGCTCAAGCAGGAGCTGCAGGAGGCGCGGGCATACAAGGACCGCTACCTCGCCGCGAACGTCTCGGTGGAGCACCTCAAGGGGCGGCTGGAGAACGCCCGCCGCGCCATGGCGGACAAGATGCTGGAGCATGAGCAGCAGGTGGAGCAGCTGCGAGGGCAAATACGGGACTTGCTGCAGCGTGTGAGCGTCTTCACCGACGCCCAGGCGACGCAGCAGCTGAAGAAGCAGGTAGTGGAGCTGCAGGAGCGATGCGCCGAGCAAAACGGACACCTGCTTGAGGAGAAGGAGCGCGGTAGCCAGCAGCTGCTCACGGCCCACACTGCCCTGCGTGAGCAGCAGGCCCGTGGCCTCGAACTTGAGCAGCGCTGCCGCACATTAGAGGCGGAGATCACGCAGATGCGCTCCGTCGTGCGGCGCTCAGCGGACCTGCAGAACGAGGCCGCGGTTGCCAAGGAGAAGAGTGCCTCAGAGGCGCGGCGCGCCGTCATGCAGGCGGAGTCTATTGCCACCGAGCTCCGCGAGACGCAGGCTAGGCTCAGCGCGGCTGCCGCAGTGCACGTGGAGGAGCTGGAGGCGGCGAAGGCCGCTGCAGACGCGGAGGCGTCGCAGCTGCTCGAGCGCGTTAGTCAACTCTCCGCCGCTGTGGATGACGCCGTCGCGGCACGGACGGCGGAGCAGGAGCGGTACGCGGCGCTGCAGCGCTCTGTCCACGAGCGGGCCGAGATGGCGCGTGCCGAGGCGCGGCTGGAGGTGGCGGCGCTGCAGAAGTCACTTTCCGAGGCCCGCGCGGAGGCGCAGCAGACTGCGTGGCGCTTAGAACAGACACAGATGGAGCTAGAGGAGAGCCGACTGCGCAGTGCGGCAGCGTGAGGCGAGGCTGGAGAGCGGCGCTGTGGAGCTGACGCGTCTGCGCACGCAGCTGGACGCCCTTACTCAGCGCGAGGCGTGGCTTGCGGCGGAGCGGGATCTCCAGCAGGCGCAGCTCACCGCGGCACGTGCGCAGGCGCAGGAGCTGGCGACGGTGCAGCGGGCGCGCGAGGAGAGTGACCTCGCCGGGGAGAGGCTGCGCATTCAGCTGCAGTTCCTCGAGGAGGAGCTGCAGGAGGCGCGCCGCCTCGCGGAGGCCGCCGAGTCCCGTGTGCAGGATGTGGAGGTGGCGGCCGAGCGTCGGCTGCGTGCGCTGCGCGGTGAGCTGAGGGGCGTCAAAAAAAATGCGAGGGCAGAGCGGGCGAAGGCGGACGCCGTGCGGCGGCGGTTGGTGCAGGCGCTTCTAGAGCGGGAGGCGGGCGTCACGCCGCAGGCGTACCCGCAGCTGCAGCGATCCTACGGGCCGGCTGCGACGACGACGGCAGATCCGCCAGTGGTTGGCTTGGACGTGCTGGCGCTGCTACGCGGGCAGAGTGAGCAGGCAGCGGCGCTGCATCACCGACTCATAGAGCTGTCGCGGTGACGCCGTCCCTCCCCCTCTACTCCGCTGTGAGGAGGGCGCGGGCAGGCGGGGGCGGGGACGTCTCACGCGGCAGCAGTCAACGTCGCCACTTATGACCCGAGCACGCCAGCTCGGGTTGAGCATAGATGCGTCACCTTTATACATATAAACATGCACACAATTCCGTACAGAGACTTCTAATAAATTATATCATTTCTCTTTGTTCCCTCTTTAGTATTTTTTCCTCCTTGTCATCTCTACCGGCTTCAGCTTTCGGCGCGACAATGCACGTATGTGTGTGTGTGCGTCTATGATTGTTGCATGTTGTATACATGCACACGTGTGAGTAATATATATGTATATAATATATATATATATATACATACATATGGATAGATATATAAATAGAGACGCATGCACGGTAGACGAACTTCGCGGAGCGCCAGATGCTTGCACCGATATATATATATATATATATATACGCACGCGCACACAATCTTTTCCGCTTTCTATGCTGTTGCTGATTACGTCTTTGTCTGTCTGTGGGTATGTGTTGGCGGAACTATTCTCCATGTGGCTTTTTGTTCTTGTTCCCACCTATCTATCGCTTACTCGCTTTCTCTCTCTGCGTGTACGGGGTGTCGTGTGAGTTGCGTTACGTTGCTTGTGTGTTTGTGGGGGGAGGGGGCTAAGATACGCTAGAAGGGTCGAGTAACTTAAAACCAGGGGCAAACAAGATTGAACACAATTAACGTTGCATCCACTGCAATACACACACACATACATACACGCATGCGGCACTGTAGTGGTCTGCCGCACAAGGCGAAGACGCTGAGGGCGCTGCTGCGCTCGAAAGAGCTGAGCTTCCTGATGGAGGCGCACAACGGCCTCTCCGCCCGCATCGTGGAGGAGACAGGCTTTAAGGCGATTTGGGGCTCCGGACTCTCCATCTCCGCCCAGATGGGGCTGCGGGACAACAACGAGGCGAGCTGGACGCAGGTGTGCGACGTGGCCGAGCAGATGAGCGATGCGACGGGGATTCCCATCCTGCTCGACGCTGACACCGGCTACGGCAACTTTAACAACGCCAGCCTGCTCGTGCGAAAGCTGGAGAAGATTGGCGTTGCCGGTGCCTGTGTCGAGGACAAGCTTTTCCCCAAGACGAATAGTCTGCTTGATGAGCGCGGGGCCCAGCCGCTCGCGGACGTGAAGGAATTTGCGCTGAAGATCCGCGCAATGAAAGACACGCAGACTGAAGAAAACTTCTGCGTCGTGGCCCGCGTCGAGTCCTTCATCGCGGGCTGGCCGCTTGAGGAGGCGCTTAAGCGGGCCACCGCGTACGCCGAGGCAGGCGCCGACGCCGTGCTCATTCACAGCAAGAGGAAAGACGCCGCCGAGATTGACGCCTTCATGGCCCACTGGGGCAACAAGGCACCGGTGATCATCGTGCCCACCTCCTATGCCAGCGTGCCGTGCGCTCACTTCCGCGACCTCGGGATCAGCAGCGTCATCTGGGCGAACCACAACATGCGGGCGTGCATCGCCGCCATGCAGGCCGCTTCGCGAGCGATACTTGAACAGGAGTCGGTCCTGCTACAGGAGAAGAGCATTGCGCCGGTAAAGGAGGTCTTCCGGCTGCAGCGCCTCCCTGAGTACCTTAAAGCGGAAGAGGCTTATCTGCCAAAGCAGTAGCAGGTCACCTCGGGCTTTCGTGTCTGCCTGGGTGAGGGATTGCGTGCCCTTCCTAGGGAGTTCACGCCTTGCGGTGACGTGGCACAAGGCGCGTGGGATGCAAGAAGGAGTGGGTTTAGGGCCTGCACGGTGATAGGCGGCGGCGGCGGATGATGCATGCATGCTATCTCTCTCTTTGTTTGACCTAAACCCTCTCCGCTTTCCAATGAAAAAAAAAAAAATTAAAAAATAAGAAAGACGCAATGGAAATAAGGGAACGAAAAAAAGAGGTATTTATTTAACTATTTAATTCTTTTGGTCTTTATAGATGTGTGTGCGTACTTCTTCCTTCCCGTTTTCCAGTCCCGCGCCTCCAGTCTTGCTATGGTGGATTTCTGTGGTTTCCGTCGCCACGCTCAAAGTGTGGCGACGCCCTGGCTGGCTGCGCGGAGATCCCCCCCCTTGATGCCGTAATACGTTTTTTTTTTTATGTACTTGCGTGTATCTGTGGGCAGCTGCCGCTGTTATTTTGCGTTATCCGTGTGCGGGCCGTCGTCCTTCATGCCCGCGGCATCGTCGTCCCTTTTGTTTTTGTTTTTCTTCTACTGCTCCTTCTGATATGTTAATTATTATTTCTTTCTGCCACCGCACTTGTCGACGCGCGCCCCGGCTACGCCGTTCCCGCGAGAAGCGAAGGGACGTGACAGACCAACACTTGCAACAGTAAGCAACGCACGCACACAACACGTTCCACATCCGCAGCAGTTCGAGTATCAGACAACGGCGGGAGCAACGGAGAAGAAGAAAGGAAACAAAAAAAAAGAGGAAGTCTTGCAACAAGGGGGGAGGGGGGGGGGGAAACGGGAGGATAAACATCGCGGGGTACGCGGGCACGAGAAAGGGCGCCCAAGTTGCACCACAAATCACTGACACTTGGAGAGAGTAATAGTGTGAGTGAGATATATATATATATATATATATATTCTGTACGTGCAAGCGACATACCGGGGCTTGGTGACAGCCAGGAAACGCATTCATATATATCTATCTGTTTACATATGTATATTTATATATATATATATAGCTACGTACGTACGTACACACAGACACACACACAGACACATACAGACACACATCTCTTTCTATACCTCTTGAAGGATGGCAGAGGCGATTAAGTGGCATAACGCGGCCATTCAGGATGAGCTCGTGCCCAAGAAGAGCTTGTCGGAGTTTAAGCTCCCGGAGGGGGCAAAGGAGCTTGTCTTCATGGCGAAGCTTACGGAGGAGGCGGAGCGCTACGACGAAATGGTGCTCTGCATGCGCAAACTGGTCAAGCTGAACAGCGAGCTGGACACGGAGGAGCGCAACCTCCTCTCCATGGCGTACAAAAACGTCATTGGCTCGCGCCGCAACGCCTGGCGCATTATCACTTCCATCGAGAGCCGCGAAGGGGCGCGAGAGAAGAGCGAGAACCTGCATCTCATCACGGCACTCCGGCGCGAGTTTGAGGCGGAGCTCGCGGCGATCTGCGACGACCTGCTTGCGCTGCTCGACACCTACCTTATCCCCACCCCACAGGGCGGCGAGGTGAAGGTCTTCTACCTCAAGATGAAGGGCGACTACCACCGCTACTACGCCGAGATTGCGCCGGAGGCGGGGCAGCGGCAGGCCGCCCTCGACGCCTATGCGAAGGCGACGGAGGTGGCAAACTCGTCCCTTGCCCCGACTCACCCGATTCGCCTCGGCCTCGCGCTCAACTTCTCCGTCTTTTACTACGAGATCATGAAGGAGCACGAGAAGGGTTTCCAGCTGGCGCGGCAGGCCTACGACGAGGCCGTTACGGAGCTCGAGACTCTCGACGACGAGGCGTACCGTGAGTCGAACCTCATTGTGCGACTGCTGCGCGACAACCTCAATCTCTGGACGGATGAGCAGCCGGCGAGCTGAGGGAGGCTTGGGTTGAAGAGGGGGGCGGCAGCGCAGCGGAGGCGGAGACACATATATGTGTGAGTATGCATGCGTTCGTCTGTCAGTTTGTTTCCCGCCCTCTTCGTGGGCGCGGGGTGTAGGCCGCGGGTGTTGCAAGAAAGGAACGGGGCAGGCACGCGGAGGAGAAAAAAAAGGGGAGGGGGGGGGGGGGCAAATACGGAAAAGAAAAAATAGGAAAAAAAACAAAAACAAAATAAAATGTAAATAAGAGGCACTGAGGAATTGAAAAAGAAGAAGAGAAATATGGAGAAACAGAAGCAGCCACGAAAACAAAACAAAAAATACGTCGAGCGACATGAAGGAAAGAGAAAAAAAAACAGAAACAAAGAACAATGAAAGGAGAAACAAAAAAAAAGAAAATAGTGAAACAAAAAAAAGAGGAGGGAAGTAACGCGGAAAACATGTACTCACGAAACGTGCGAGCGGATATGGCAGGGCCAAACCTGCGCCACGACGAACACCATCAAATAGACAAGAAGAGGAGGGGCAGAAGATGGAGGAGGGAAAGTGCAATGAAAGCAAGGGAATGGGTGGGGGACAACCCAGTAAGAAGCAGGAGGACGACGCGATGGACGGCAACAAGAGCAGCAGCAAATAAGGAAAATGCCATGGTGACGCGCGACGTGTAGCAGGATGAAGGGGAGTACAAAAAAAAAATGGTGAAGGTAAAGAGAGAGACTAATAGGAGGGAAAAGGAGGACAGGCCGCCTTTCTGTGGGGTGGTCGGCGGTGCCCGTCAACGTTATTACAACTACCCACAGGAAGATATGCACGTACATAGATATCTATGCATGAATGCAACACCACGGGGGTGGGGTGGGGGTCTTGGCTGGCAAGCTGGGCGTTATTTTTTTTCCTTTCACCCCACCCCCTCCTCCTTTCTTCTGTGAAATTTGCTCAGGGCCGGAAAGGTGAAGGGCAAACAACGGGTAGTGGACGGTGCATGTGCGCTGTTTGCTTGGCTTCTACACGCGGTAGGTGCATCCGGCGAGACTGTTCGGGAGGCGGAAGAGGAGCGGGAGCGCGTGCCGGAAGCATGAGGGCTGGCGAACTCAAATTGTAGCGATTGGCAGCAGCGGGAGCTGCAATGCCGGTTGATGGCTTTGTGTGGGAAAGTTTTTTTTTCTTCTTCTTCCCTTTCCGGCCCGTCCTCTATGTGTCCAGCCTGTTCCTCCTCCATGCGTTTATTTTTTTCTCCCCCCCCCTCCCCCTCTTTCTTTTCTGGTGTTTCGGTCCCCCACACCGCATCACCCCTTTTGTTTTTTCTCCCCCTTTTTATGTTTTACTTCGCCCCTCTCCGCCCTACTCGTGTTCTTCATTCTTTTCCTTTTTTTTTTTGTTGTCTGTGTGTTCCCTCTCTCATCTCCAAAATTTATCACCCCCTTTCCTCATTGCAGCGGCAGCCGCGCTGGTTTACCTTCTTTCTCTCTTTTTTTTCTTCTTTATCTGTGTGTGTGTGTGTGTCGGTGTATGTATTTCGCCTTGCTGCTGCCTGTTCCTGTTGTCTTTGCGTTGTGGTCGTCTCGCTGTTGTGCGCCACACACCCGCCGCATGTCCACACATTAGGCCGAAGTACAGGGCGAGGGAGGAGCAAAGGAGTTACGGTGGGGTGCGGGAGTGGGGGCTATGCCAACGTGGCTGAACGTGGCTGAGAAGCCGAGCGTGGCGAAGGAGTTGTCGTCGGTGTTGTCGAACGGTAGCTGCAGAACTGGCCAGTCCCTCTCCCGCTTCAACCCGCTCTTTGAGTTTGAGCTCGACGGGAACCAAATGCTCTGCACCTCCGTGGCAGGGCACCTCATGAACGACGAGCTGCCGCCGGAAACGCGGAGCTGGCAGCACTACCCGCTCGTCAACCTCTTCACCGCCAGCATCACGAAGCACGTGAAGCCGGAGATGGAGCCGGTGAAGAGAAACCTGGAGGCGCTCGGTCGTCGCGCCGCCGTGCTGGTGCTCTGGATGGATTGCGATCGAGAGGGGGAGAACATCTGCTTCGAGGTGATGCAGGTGGTGCAGGCAGTCAACCGGGGCATCCGCGTGTGCCGGGCCCACTTCTCCGCACTAACGAAGCGGGACCTCTTCTTGGCGGTTAGGAACCTCAAGGTCCCGAACAGGGCCCTTTCGGACGCGGTGGAGGCGCGGCAGGAAATTGACCTTCGCATCGGCGCCGTTTTTTCCCGCTTTCAGACCATTAAATTTCGCGACTCGTTTAGCGGCATGCCGCGGGTGCTTAGCTTCGGCCCCTGCCAGATTCCCACGCTGGGGTTTGTTGTTCACCGCCACTGGGAACGTCAGGGGTTTGTGGCGGAGGACTACTTTACGCTGCTGCTGCGCCACGGGCAGACCATCTTTCACAGCTGCCGGGGGTCGCTCTTCGACCAGGTTGCCGCCACCCTCGTGCTGGAGACGATGCTGGAGACCGCCGGCGCCAACGCCGAGGCGCAGGTTGTGGATGTCGTGCGACGCCCCACCCGGCGACGCCCCCCGGCACCGCTCGCCACCGTCGCGATGCAGAAGTTGGCTGCCACTCACCTGCATATCTCCTCCGAGCAGTGCATGACATGGGCGGAGTCGCTGTACCAGGAGGGCCTCATCTCCTACCCCCGCACCGAGACGGACTCCTTCTCGTTCACCGATGAGGAGCTGCGCGAGATTGCGGCTCTGCAGCACGGCAACCCAGCAGTGGCGGACTACGTGACTGCCATGCTCGACGACCCCGCACAGCGGTTCCGTCGACCGCTCAAGGGCGGCCACGACGACAAGGCGCACCCGCCCATTTACCCCACCAAGCTGATGCGAGCCGAGGGCGACAACAGAACCCCGCTCTACAATCTCATTGTCCGCCACTTTCTTGCGTGCGTCTCACCCGACGCGGTGGCGGCCACGACCACCGTCACCGCGGTGTTTGGGGGCGAGAAGTTCACCACCGCCGGCACGACGATTCTTGAGAAGGGCTGGCTCGACATCTACCCCTACGAGCGATGGCACAGCACTTGTCTACCTGTCTACGAGCAGGGTGAGCACTTTGCCCCAACGGACGTTACTCTTGAACAGCACCGAACCGTCCCACCGCCGCATCTCACGGAGACGGCGCTCATTGCTCTCATGGATGAACACGGCATTGGAACCGACGCTACCATCGCGCAGCACATCAAGACTGTTCTTGACCGGGGATATGTGAAACGAGAGGGGTCGTTTTTGGTCCCTACCGCGTTGGGAGTTGCACTGGCCTCGGCATATGCGGTGATTGGGCTGCTAAGTCTACTGCAGCCGCAGCTGCGGGCACAGATGGAGCTTGCCATGTCCGACATTGTCTCGGGGAAGGCCAGCAAGAGCCAGGTGGTCGACGCCGCCGTGCAGCTTTACAGTGAGGTCTTTCGGAAGGTATCCTTGGGAAGTAAAGAGATGTATGAGGAGTTGTGCTGCCATCTGTCTCCGGCAGCGCCGCAGATGTCACCCGCCGCCGACGCCTGCGGCACAGGTCGCGTGGTGCAGCGTCGCGTGGTGCCGTGTGGGGTGTGTCACAACCCTATGGATCTTGTCGAGCAAACTGAGGGGGGGCGGGAGGTGTGGTGCGTGCGGTGTGGCACGTGTTGCAAGGACCACCGCGTCCCAAATGGGCGCCTGAATCAGCTGACCGCCTGTGGACAGTCCTGCATCCTCTGCGGCTTTGGCGTTCTTGACGTGCGAAGCACAGAGAAGCAGACCGCCTACACGGTGTGCCCGCACTGCTTTACCTCGCCACCCCCCGGCACTGACATGGAGTCGTTCACCGGGTTTCGCTGCTTTCAGTGCCTCGCTGACTGCCCGCTGGCGAAGGGGCTGGAGAACATGGCCATCACCCGGTGTGCTTCGTGCGGGGAACACGATGTCCGTCTCTGCACGGGCGTGCGGGGAGCCTTTTTGAGCTGCCGCGGCTTTCCCGCTTGCAGGTACTTTGTGACCCTCCCATGGGCGAGGCGCGTACGCCCCACTCCGACGATGCGTTGCGCGTCGTGTCAGGCCGTCATGCTTCAGTTTGAGTTTGGTGGGATGCCGACGGTCCCCGGGCTAGAGGAGGGCGAGTGCGTCTGCGTCTTCTGCGATGGCCGGTTGCAGGAGTACGTGTCTGTGAAGGGGAGAGGCCCACGCAGGAACGACTGTGCCTCGAACCGTGACCACACGGATGACCAACAAACAAAGCAGCAGCAGGCACCGTACACGTTGCCGGTGCCAAGTGGCGCGGTTGCGGCCCGTCGACGAGTACCCGCGAAGGGAAAAGACACAGGCACATTGTGTGGGTGTGGAGCGCCGGCGCGGCAGCTCGTGTCGAGGAAAGAAGTCTCCAAAGGGAGACGGTTTCTGACGTGTGCGAGTAAAACGTGTTTGTTTTTCCAGTGGCTCGATTGATGTCTGCGATCGAAGAGAAGTATTCACGCGACCGCCACGCGTTTTTTTATCTTGTGAATTTTTCGTGTGTGTGTGTGCATCGGCGTCTTGTTGCTGGGTGGAAGATCGTTATGCTCACCGGCATATGGTTGTCTACGCTCTCTCCCTCACTCTTACTCTCGCGCTTCTTTAAAATGGTAAATTCTAGGCTTAACGTAGTGGGTGCCTTTTTTTTGTGCTTCTGCGCGACTCTGTGTGTGACTGTGTTCGATAGGAGAGGGAACAAGAACCAGCAACAGAATTAAAAAAAAAAAAAGAACTAACTGCAAGCATGAGAGCTACCAAAACGCCCTCTTGCAGCAACTGCGCGGCAACGGATCACCTTCGCAGGGACTGCCCATTGGTGACGTGCCGGGCCTGCGGGCGACTTGGGCACTTCAAGGTAGACTGCCCAATGGAAAACAAGCGGACACGGATGGATGAGGACGGCGAGGTCTCTGTTTGCCGCACCTGCGGATCCTCGCGGCACGTGCAGGCCAGCTGCCCCATTCGTGCGCAGTCTGTAGAGTGTTTTCAGTGCCATCAGCGGGGCCACATGGCGCCGACGTGTCCGCAGACGCGCTGCTTTAACTGCGGCAGCTACGGCCATAGCTCGCAGATCTGCTACAGCAGGCCCCTTTGCTTTCACTGCTCGTTGGCCGGACACCGCTCCACGGACTGCCCCATGAAGCCAAAGGGTCGCGTTTGCTACCGCTGCAAGGAGCCTGGGCACGAGATGGCGGACTGCACCCACACCGCGTTGTGCCGCATGTGCAACCAGGCCGGTCACCTTGTCGCCCGGTGCCCGGAGGCCCTCTGCAGCCTCTGCCACGAGCGCGGCCACATCGCGAGCGCCTGCTCAAAGGTTCGCTGTCCCAAGTGCAACGACTACCACGCCACGGAAATCTGCGGGCAGCCGGCGTTGGTGGCAAAGGAGCCGGTGGACGACGTCTCTGCTGAGGACGCCTCGGGCACAGATAGCGAGGGCGAGCACGAAAAGAGGTCTCACTCGGACCTCTGCACCGCCACCGCGGAGGACGTTGTGCCTGTCTTTCAACCGAGCAACATAAAGCGCGAGGGGCGGGCGGCCGTCATTATCGACGGAAGCTACTTTGAGCGTATCTTGAAGGGCCACCAGCGCCGTGATGAGGAGCACTACAAACGCACCGTGGAGGTTCTGCGCTACACGCTGGACTTCATAGGGGAGATCTTTCAAAAGAATCCCGTCGCGTACTGGTTTGACACCGACCCCGCCGCCATGACGGAGTACATTGAGCACTCCATGCCGTTGCCACATCGGGAAAAGGCGTTTCGTGAGACCCACCTTCGCAAGCGACTGCTGCTTGACGAGATGAGTGGGGGAAGTCAACTGGGCAACGTCGTCTCTCGTCTGGTTGGGCGCATGAAACAGCAGAAGGGCTACACGCGCGACGGGCCGCGGTATGTGTGGGTGCAGACGGGCGTTGATGTTGCGATGGCCACCTGCATTATCGAGATCTTCCTCTACCAACAGTTTGAACAGGTGGTGCTGCTCTCCGGGGACGCCGACCTGTACCCCGCCATCCAGTACTGCCAAGCCCAGCGGCGCAGTTCCCCCGCGTTGGTGAAGGCGAATCCGGTGCGGGTGTGTGGCACCTCAACCTCGATCTCCAAGATCTACGGCAAGGACCAGGACCTCTGTGACTTTCTCCCACGCATCACCTTGGACGCCCCGTTTCACGTGGAGAAGGAGCGCGAGGTGGTGTTTCCGACGCATACCGCGTTTTTGTAGTTAGGAAGCAAGTGAGGCGGGGCGCGACGCCGCGCATCGCTCCCCTGTCGGCTTTCCCCCCCCCACTTCCTCCCCCCCTACGACCTCCGTGCAGAGTGGGTCTGTTGTGGTAGTGGGTGGGGCCTGGTTTGAAACGTAAAGGAGGAATAATGAACAGAACGCAAGCTCAAGGGCAAAAAATGTGTTTTTCTCTTTTTTTCTCTCTCTGCGTGTGTGGCGGGAGACGCGCATGATATGCAGGGGAAGTGATGACCCCGTTTTTCACATGTGCAGAGTCTGCCGAACTAAATTAGTGTCATCGCAACCCAGCGGCTGGTCCCAGTATTTGTGGTGTTGCTGCGTATCTGTTGTCTTTTTTTTTTTTTTTTTTACTGTGCACACCCGGGTGGGTAGCCGGTGGATGAACAGGCGCTTGGGCAATGACCAGCCAGCGCTGCCGGATGGTGTCCCAGTGACGTACTACGCGACATGCCGGCGCATTGAGTACCTCGCGTCGCTTGGGATGCCGCAGGTGACGCCCTACACAGAGCCCGCGAGGCCGCACGCCCGGACGCTGCCGGAGCCAAGCTCGACGCCGGAGCCAGTACTACCTCCAGCTTCCCCCTCGTCGCCGGGGGCACGCACCAGACTGTCGCGGCAAACGGTGTCCTCCTCTAGAATCATGACCCCGCGGGCCAGCAGCCGTCACAAGCATGAGGTGGACAAGTTTGACATGGAGGCCGCCTACGCTGCATTCATTCGGCGCCTGGAGCGAAAGCTGGACGCAGAGGATACGAAGAGCGCTTAATAGCCTAGGCTCCCGCTTCGTCAAGGTGTGTGCGTGTTTCTAATCGTGGGCCGACACACATACACAGAGTGTATTCAGTACCTTCCCACTCTCCGCCTGTTTGTTCATGCGGCTGCACGCTGGGACGCGGACCTTCCGCTGCGCATGTAAACTGTCAACTCCTCATCGCCGCCACGACGACGACGACGGCGGTGGTCACTGCCTGATCGCCTTGGCTGGTGGCGACCCGCGGAGACGCAGTGTTTGGTTCCAAAACGAAAGGGGGGGGGTAGGGGGAGAGAAGCTGCCTTTTTTTTTTGTATTGCTTGCCTTTGCCACACTACGTGGGTGCTGCTGCGAGCCGCGTAAAACAGAGCAAAAAAGGCGACACTTTCGTCTGCGCTAGGTGTGCTCTGGGCTCCGTCTGCAAAATTATTATTATTATTACTGCTTCTGGTGGTTGTTGTTTTGCGTCCTCAATTTCTTCTTTTGTGCCTCGCTCTTACTTTGCTGTATGTGCGGGCGGGGATGTGATACACGAGTGGGTGGGAGTGCGGGCGGAAAAAGGCGCGTAATAGGCATAGCGAGGAGGGCGCCATGGCCGCAGCAGCGCAGACGGAAATGGGGGCGGAGGAAGAATGCCCGAAGCTCATCAGCGCCAAAGTCCCAGTGACGATCCTGACGGGGTTCCTCGGCAGTGGCAAGACGACGCTGCTGCACTACGTGCTCGCCGCGGAGCACCACCTCCGCATTGCCGTCATTGTCAACGAGTTTGAGTTTGGTCGGACGATCGAGAAGGGGCTGACGCTCAAAAGCTCGCAGAAGCCGGACGACGAGTGGCTGGAGCTCAGCAACGGCTGCATGTGCTGCACCGCCCAGTCCCAGACGGTGAAGGCGCTGGAGAGCCTCATGGCGCGCAAGGGGACCTTTGACCTGGTGCTTGTGGAGACCTCCGGCCTCGCCGACCCGGGCCCGGTGGCCGCCATGTTCTGGCAAGATGAGGCTGTGTGTGGCTCGCTCTTTCTCTCCGGTATTCTCACGCTGGTGGACGCGAAGAACATCGGCAGGTATCTGCACGACCCGCAGGTCTCGGGCGAGGCGGTGCGGCAGATCATCATGGCGGACCGTGTTGTGCTCAACAAGTGCGACATCGCCACGGAGGCGGAGCAGCGCCAGGCACTGGCCGAGGTGCGGTGCATCAACCCGCTGGTGCCGGTGGTCCACGCGTCTCACTCCCGGCTGGAGAACCTGCGGGAGATTCTCTTTCTGAACACCACGCGGCAGCTCGTGGAGCTGGAACACCTCCACCCCGCGGGCGCCCCCGCAGGCATCACCGCCGTCTCACTGGAGTTTTTTGAGCAGCCGCGCTTCCTAGCGCTGCGCGACTTCGGCGATGTGGACGCGATTTGCCGGGAACTGCTGTACAAGGACCACGACCCTCCGTTTGAGGTGCTGCGCTGCAAGGCGGCGTTGTGGATGCGGCGGGCGGGGCGGCTCTCTCTCCTGCAGCTGCAAACCATTGGGGAGCTGTTTGACGTCACTCCGATGGAAGGGCAAACCGTCCCGCTGGGCTGCTCCCGCGTGCTCATCTTGGGCAAACAGCTGGACAAGGAGGTCTTGCGGAACATCTTCCTGCAGTACATGCGAGACGACACGGAGCCGTAACGCTGCGCTGGGGCTCTGTTCCTTTTTTTCTTTCTCTACATGTGTGTGGACATGAAGCAAGCGGCTCCGGGACAATTAGGAGGAGGGGGGGAAGCAAGCGAACGAACACATACACCGTTGCCCCGCTTCATTACTTGCATTTTGTGTGTGTGTGTGTGTGGTCATGCGGCATGCAAACGAGACCCAAAGTAAGAGAACATTAAAACAACAATAACAACCACAACAAAAAGTAGCACGCAGAGGAGGTTGGATTGCGGGAGAAATCATAACACACCTGCTTCTCTCAGACACACACACACACACAAGCATGCTCACTTTCTTTCTGTTTCCTGTCATTTTACTTTCCGTGGGCAAGTACACCCACACATACGAGCAGCAGGGCAACCAGCCATGGAGGAGAGGTTCTTGAAGACACGAGCGGAGCGGGAGGAGGCGCGGCAACAGAAGGCGGCCATTTCCTCCTCTGTTGCCTTGGATAAGCTGGAGTTTGAGCGGCAGGCCAAGGACTTTGAGCGGGACGTCGCGCAGCTTCTTAGGGACGGGGACACCCGTGCGGCGCAGGACGGCGTGAAACGCTTTCAACGGCTTGTACAGGAGGCCACCAGCAACGACGTGCTGACGTCACACGAGATGGCGAAGTCCAACGCGACCCTCGCACGGCTTCAGGGGCTGATTGACGCCAAACATGACACGGCTGGCCGAGCAAAGGCGTTTAAGTTCTCCTCGCAGCCCAAATCCAGGGGTGCGGTGGTGGAGGGGGAGCAGCATGCGGCCTCCTTTGCCTTCACCTCCGCCTCCAACTCCTCGCTGCCCTGCCGCAGCGAGGGGCAAAGTTGCGCCGGCAACGTGTACGGGTACGCGCGGGAGCAGACGCTCTGCGTTGGCCCGGCGAAGGCCGTGTTTCTGCGTGAGTGTGAAAGGTGTGAGGTGCTGATTCTCCCCGTCCCCGGCTCCGTGTTCATCTCGGACTGCGCAAACTGCAAGGTGTACGTTGCATGTCACCAGCTTCGACTAAAAAACTGCACGAACGTTGACGTCTACGTGTGGTGTGCCTCGACGCCGATTATTGAGTGCTGCAGCGGGATGCGGTTTGGCCCCTACAGCTGCTGGACAGGGCTGCTGCAGTCGAGTGTGGAGGGGCACGCGTACGCCACACACGAGGAGTGGGTGGGGCGCCTTGGGGAGCTGCGGGTGGAGGCGCACACAAAAAACGCATACCAAACCGTCGATGACTTTCAATGGCTTAAGAAGACGCCCAGCCCGCACTGGGGCGTCCTGCCGCAGGAAGCGTGGGAGATGAGTTTGCAGCGGTTTCTGCAGGAGGTGGGTCCAGCTGCCACGTAACCCAGCGACCTTATTCTTTGGAAGGGGGCCGTGGCCCAACCACCGTATTCTCTCCTCTTCTCCGGTTGAACTCCCTTCGCCCGCCTCTTTTTCGCTGTGCGAGCACCGCAGCCGTAGCCTGGGTGGCGGGGTTTGTGTATGTTTATGATTTCCCTTTACAAGAGTGAGAGTAACTAGCAAACCAACCAACCAATCAAAAACAAAAAAAAAGCAAAAAGTACGAACGGGAAGAGGAGGAGAAGGATTTGATACATACGTGAATATAAGTGTGCGTGCCGTTCTTGGGTCACGCAGTTTCATACGTATGCAAAGATGAATATGATGTGTACACATAATTATTTCTCTCTCCATGTTTTTTTTTCTTTTCTTTACTCCTGTTAAGAGTTTAGGTAGGATGAATGCAATGCGGGCGCAAGTGATGACTCTGTTGTTGTTGCTGCTTCTTGTGGTGGGGCTGCCACGCGCTGCCAGCGGGTGGAGTGCAACGCTGCAGAAGGTGACTGTGCTCACTCGCAACGGAGCCCGCGGGTTATCAAGCCTCAGTGACGGAAAAATGAATTGTGACAACTGCAAGTTGTCCGCCGTGGGGCGAGACATGTCGTTCCACCTTGGTGTCTTTCTGCGCTCGCGCTACAGCGATGCATTGGGCCTTGGCAAGCGCCTCAACACGACGCTCGTGTCCTTCCGGGCGGCGCAGGCCGCACGAACCATTGCCACGGGTCAGGGCGTCACACTGGGCATGTTTCCTGGTGCCCTGCCGCTGGTGCGGTACCGCCCTGCACGGGACGACGTGTTGCTGGCCGCCACGCAGAGCTGGCCCTCGTGGCTTCTGCAGGACTTGTGGAGAGGCAAAGCGCACCTTGACGACGCGTGGGCCTCGGAGCGACTAACGCTGAAGGATCGCAAGGCGCTTTCCCGCTTCCTTCCACCAAGCAACGCAGGGTTGTGTGAGCGTTCCCCCGCGCTGTGTGCGCTGTACGTCTACGACAGCTGGGGGGTCAACGCCTCTGCGGGCCACGAGGACGCCGCGCTGCGACCGCTGCTTCCCGCTCTGCAGACTGTCACTCGACGCATTCTCTGGCGACTGTATGGTGCCGACCCGCGGGACCCTGACAATAGAGGCATGGGACCGTTGGCTGGCCCGCTTCTTCGCGAGGTGCTCTCCGGCCCTTTTTCCTCTTACTCCGACGACGGCAGCAGTAGTACTAGTAGCACCCGTCTGGCGGTCTACGTCGGGCCCATGCCGGTTGTGTTTGCGGTGCTCAGCGGCTTGGGCCTCTTTGACGCGGTAAACACTTTGGCAGGAGACTCCTCGCCCGTGCCGCAGTTTGGGGACGCGATCGCCTTTGAGCACACAACCGCGGGTGGCGAGCACTACGTGCAGGTGTACCAGTTTACATGGGCCTCGGGTGGCACAAATGCCAGCGGCTACACGGGCAAACGGCTTGAGGTCAGCTGCATGGACTCAGAGGGCAACACCTATGCGTCCAGCGCCGCGCCTCACGGCTGCACCGTGGCAGACATGCGACGCTACCTTGACTCTCTTGGGGCCGCCGAGGGTCAGTGCTTCGCCACCGGCGCCGCTCTTGTGGCGGCTGGCTGCGGCGGCAAAGATGCACCCCCTGCCGGCTCACTCTGCCACATGTACCGTGACAAGTGCCCTGCTGCGCCGTGCGGCGGTGTGCCTGGGACGATCGCGGACCCCTCGCGCGGCTTTGCCTGCCAGGACGCAGGGCTGAACAAAGGCACCTCATACCTCGCGGCGGCCATCGTGGCCCTCGGGGCGCCCTGCGTGCTCGCCGGCTCTATTTTTGGGCTGTACTTCCCCGGCCACATTTGGCGTTGATCCTGCTTTAGCAAAAGACCTGCAGAGGCCTAACGACAGGAGTTCCGCTTGGGAGCGGTGTGTGTGTGTGTGTGTTTTGATTGCCTTTGTTTTGGCCTTTTTTTTTCTTGCTTGTGCCGGCCCTTTCGCCGGTTTTTTTTTTTTTTGGTTGCCGTCGCGCTGTGCGGGTGTTACCTCCGCGTGCTCTTTTTTGTTTTTGTTTTTGTTTTGGTTCTCTCTCCCCCTGCATGCACGCCCCATCGCCACGTCTGCCGGCAGCGAGAGCATCCTACTACAGCGGCGGGCGAAGTCTACACTATGAATCCACTTGCGCGGCGGGTGGAGCGCAATAAGGAGGAGGTGCGTAAGCTGTCGCAGAGGGGCGGGAACCGTTTTTGTATCGACTGCGGGATGCGGGGCCCCCTCTACGTGGTGTCCAACTTCCACGTCTTCGTCTGCTCAACATGCGCTGCCCTGCACCGCTCGCAGCAGCACAAAGTGAAGGGCATCTCCATGACAGAGTTCACCGACGCGGAGGTTGCCAGCCTCACTGTCGGCGGAAACGACCGGGCGGCACGGGTGTGGCTCGCCAGGTACCAGAAGCAGCGGCCGCGGCAGGGCAACGACCGGGCCGTCAAGGACTTCATCGTGGCCGCCTTCAACGATTTATCGTACGTTGACCGGGAGGAGCTGGAGCGGCTGCAGTGCGACGTGTGCAAGGCGGTGAGCGGCGAGGTACCACCCCGGCTGTCAGGCACGGCGGGGCTGCCCCCGTCCCCGGAAAGCAGCGGGTTGCGCCGGGCCGCGCCGCCACCATCAGCACCACTTCCAGTATCGCTATTGCAGGAGCCCGCAGAAGCAGCCGCAGGCGCCCCTTTGCAAGCACACGCCCCGTCCTCGTCCCTGGAGGCGCGGGAGGCGCACGCCGTGCCGACTCCGCCGGTGGACCTGTTTGGGCCGTCGGTTCCTTTGCAGCCTGCACAGTCGGCTCCCGCTCATGTCTCATCGGCGCCAACGGATGACGACATGTTTGCAGATTTTTTAACCGCTGCTGCGCCGCCGCCGTCCGCCGTTGTTAGTGCCTTAGCGGGCTCTTCTTTTACAGCTCAGGCGCCTCTTGCAGACTGGTTCGCCTTTTCCGCCGCCCCCGCACAACTGCCCGCCAACATGGGCGTTTCCCCAGCCGTCACAGCGGGCCCTCTGCACTACATGACGCCTCAGCTGTACCCACAGAACACCTCCTCTCAGCTGGGAATCTCAGAGCGGTTCGGCGTGCAGCAAGGGGGATATGTTTTTACGACGCCTAGTAATGTAACGCAGCTGCAGCCACAACAGTTTCAGTATGCCGCTTCTATGGGTCCTCCGGTAGCTCCCAACGTGGTGCCCTACCAAGCACCGATCGACCAGGCACAGGCACCCTCCGTGGGTGCTGCGGCGCTGACGAATATGAACAGTGTGAACTTCTTCCAGGAACCTCCTGCAGACCCGTGGAAAAGTACTGATTCTCCTGAACCCACGAAAACGGGGCCCACCAACGACAGCAGTGCGTCACACAACGATGCCTTTGCAGCCTTAGACCCCTTTGGCAGTAAATGGTAAGGTATATCAACGCTTGTTGTATTGACCATCCCCCCACCATTTTTTTTTATTTTATTTTTTTGAGGGGGGTTTTCTGATAACGGTTGTTACTTTCCACGGATTGGTAGCAGTGGCGTGGCTGGTGTTCGAACGTCTTTTTTTTTTCATCGGCGTCTATGTGTGTGCGTGTGCTTAGGCGTGCGGGGGAACAGCGACGGTAGAAGAAGCGAGGGCTGCAGTGCGAGATGCAGGCGGCTGTGACGACGACGGCGATGCCGTGGGCCTACCAGGCCGTCGTGAATTACGCTCGGATGCAGCGGGGCTGTGGTTTGCCGCCGCCGCAGCGGGCCCCAAATCTTCTCCTCTCACGGCCCTGCGATGGTGTTCGGCGTGCGGTATGGCTCTTCCACCGTCCCGGCGGTGTGCTGGGGCTTGTGGTGGGCCCTCGGCTGGGCGTGCCGTACGGCGGCTCCGTGCCCCGCCAGCAGCAGCCGCTTGCAAGTTCCGCGGGGGAGCGGCGGGTGATGCGCCACTTGCGCTTGCTCCCGTTTCCGGCGGCGGGCGCAGGACTGCTGTGTCGTCCCATCGTCGTTCATACGAACCACCTCATCGGCTGGTGCCTCGACGGCGGCGACGCCGCACCTCTATACGCGCACAGCGTAGACCAACTCGCACGCCTGCAACCACGGCGGCTAACGACGCTGTCGCCCGACAATACCCTAGTGTGCACCACTTACTACGAGTGGGACGACTGGCGAGAGGCGGCACGGGAGCCTGGCTGGTCGTGGCACTACGCTGACGAGCACGTGGCCAACGGCCTCGTGAGCGGTCAACTCTCTCCCGACGACCTCTGCTTCCTTGCGCCCGCCGGGCCATAGCGCGACGTAATGGACAATAATAATGCAACGAACTGCAGCATAGGGCGAGCGCGCCTTTACCCATGTGCGAAGGCGAAAAAAACATAGAAACCACGAAGGCATATATATACACACAAATACATACTACATTTTTACACGTTTTTTTTTTGTTGAGAATGCCGCGATACGCAGGCGACTAATACATGCAAAGATCAAGGAGCATGTGCGGAAGCGCACCGGCTGGAGGAGCAATGCTCGACAGGTGGGTTATAGAGAAGGAAAGAACGAAGTAAAAAAAAAAAAGGGAGTCGGGGGCTAGGTGATGAATTATTATAACGAATTTTTTCTTCCTGTCTTTGTATGTGTGCGCATGTGAACCTTTTTATACTCTCATTATATATATATATATATATATATATATTCCTTTACTTCGACTCCTTGTAATGCGTGCTTGCATGCGCCTGTGCGTTCTCCTCCCGCGCTGCGGAACTTAAAAGGAGGAGGAAGATGCTTCACTCAAGCAGGCATCACTTAGCATCAACCGGGCGTGCTTTCATGGAGGTTGCTATTGGCTCCGGCTCCCCGAGGCGGATTGAGTATGAACTTTTCACCCGCAAGTGCCCGGTGGCAGCGGAAAACTTTGTGAAGCTTTGCACCGGAGAGAATGTCTTACCACGGGTGCCAAGCACTACGGGGCTGGGGGACCCCGGCTTTGGCGATCAGTTCCTCCCGCAGCTCACGTACAGGCACTCCACCTTCCACCGCGTGCACCGGGGGTACCTCATCCAGGGCGGCGACATCGTGAGCGGCAGGGGGACCGGGCAGCTGTCGATCTACGGCGACACCTTCGACGCCCCAGAGGAAGTGCGTGCTTCGGTGTTTGACCAACGCGGGCTCGTGGGCACAGCCGTGAGTGCCCCGCACCTGAACGGCTCGCAATTTTTTATCCTTACAGCAAAGGCAGCGCCCCATCTGAATGGGACGTGTATTTGCTTTGGACGTGTCGCGAAGGGCTACGACGTGGTGGAGGCAATCGAGCACGTACCGCTGGCACCATCCGGCTTCCCCGCGCAGCGGATAACTGTTGTCGAGTGTGGGGGGCTGTAAGGGACTTGCGCACTCTCAAACGGAAGAGAGGAGACACGGTGAAAGCAGGCGGAAAAGAAATAGGAAGAAGGAGGGCGCCCACATATATACACATTGACATACGAACCTTCATGTTTCTTCTACACGCGGTCGCGGGAGAGTAGTGCGGCATTTCTCTTGTTTTTTCTTCATTTCCCTCATTTTTTTTTACTGTTCTCTCCGCATCCTTTTTTTTTTCTTGTTGCAACGTCGTCTTTTTACTCCTCTTACTCTTTTCCTCAATGATGCAACATAACATACGTGCCCCTTGCGGCGGGCAGTCTGTGGTACACTGCGGGAAGGAAGCGAGCGATGAATGACCCGAGCGTCTCCATGGCGTACTCCCCGGGCGTCCTCATTGGCAACTGGTACGAGGAGATGCGAGCGCGTGAGGACAAAGTAAGCTTTTACAAGTCGGTGGCTAAGATTGGTGGGACGCACGGGGGCGCATCCTTGGCGCTGACCGAGGCCACCGACCTCGGCGACCTGAAGGACGTTGTTGTTATTGGCCAGCCGCTTCAGTTGGTGAACGTCGCCACAGGGGCAGCGCTGGCGCTGGACACGGCCCTCCGCTTCGCCCCAAAACCCCCGCATCAGTTTCTAGTGACTGCAGCCGACGCTCCGCAGCCGCAGGTGCGCTCGACGTGGGTGCTGCACCGGGCGAAGGATGAGAACAATATCGCCTACACCAAGGAGCTGCACGAGGAGCATGTGTTGCACTACGGTCAGCGGGTGCGGATTGCCAACGAGGATGCCTCGCCGGATGGCTTCTGTTACCTGCGCTCCGGTGTGCGAGACATTGGCCACGCGGGCCAGCAACTGCTGACCGCGGCGCTTGGGGCCTGCAAGGACGATGTCTTTGTGGTGGTGAAGCCCGGTGAAAGGCGCGATGACATCTGCGACGGCGCCCCGGTGCAGTTGGGGGACGCCGTGGCCTTCTTCCACGCCGCCACCAATCAACCGATTCGCTGCACCCGGGTGCAGCAAAGCACGTCGTTTGGGTACGAGTTTGAGGTGAGCTGCAGCTTTCCGGATGTCACGCACTCCCGCTCGCTCGCAGCCGTGACGTCGCACCCGGAGAACCTGTTCTTTATCGGCGGCGCCACGCAGGCGGCGCAAAAGAGTGTGTCGTCCTCTGCCACCGCGGCGCTGCGAAGTCGCTCGGATCGCTCCAAGGGAGTGTCTCTGATGATGAGTAGTGGCATCGGGCTGGACCTTGTTATCGCGCGCATTCGCGAGGGCGCGCTGCGCTTTGGCGGCCGGTTGGGCCTTCGCACCTTCTCGAAGGCGCTGCGAACTGCCTGCAACGAGCACCGCAGGACGCTGCTCAGTCGAGAGCAGCTGCTCCGCGGCGTTCACCTTATGGGCGTGGTGATGCAGCCAATGGAACTGGACGCCGTGTTCAAGAGGCTTGACCGTGTCGGGGACGGCCTCGTTGTGGCGCAGGATTTCCTTCGCGAGGTGCGGGGGGACGCGCCTCCGCACCGGCTAGACGCCGTTATCGAGGCTTTTCAGCGGCTCACCATCGAGGGTGGCGGCTCCGTCGACTACAAGGATATGCTCAGTCTGTACAGGTTTAACGCATCCCAGCTGCCGGACGTGGAGGAGGGCGTGATCAGCGTCGCCGAGGCCGTCTTCGACTTCGTCAATAGCTGGCCCGGCAAGAACGACATGGCCACCGTGACGCTGGAGGAGTTTGTGGCGTACTACACAGACGTCTCGCCGGCCGTGGACGATGATGCACGGTTTCTGGCGACGTTGCAACGGTGCTGGACGATACCTGAAACCAACGCCTACAAAAGTGGGCAGCCCCGCCGGCACGTCACGGTGTTTCACACCGATGACACCACGGATATCATTGCAATCCCAGATTCCTTGGTCATAGATATTCGTGATGCCGCCATTGTTCGAGAGGTGTTGCTGCAGCATGGTGTGAGAGACATCAAAGACATTCAGGCTACCATGTAGAGGGAGTGATGTTTTGTATTTTATTTTGGGGGTTTGGCAGAGGCTGCACTACCGCGGCCTCCGCCCCACTATGTAGGTATATGAAGGAATCACCCCTGCCATTGGACGCCAACATGAGGGCAGGAGTGGAAACCCGAAATAAACAACGCAACCATGAGCGGGTGCGGGATGGTGTGAAAACAGAAAGAAAAAAAAAGAAGTTTGATTTCCTATTTGCTTCTTTGTTGCACTGTTGTGGTGCACGTATGTGTTTATAATATGCTGCACAGTGTACGGGGCGCTGACGATGACAATTCTCATGACGGACCTCCGTGTACCTGACGGGTGGGGTCCTTAGAGGGGACCTTATGTTTGTACTACGTTACTTATGTATTTCTACACATGCGCGTGGAGCCATGCCTTCTGTGGCTTTGCCTTTTCTTCCTGTTTGCCTGAGGGGCTGATAGGAGATGGATGCGGTGTGTGACGGGGTGCTGTGCCGCGTGGAGGTGCAGGGATACGTGATTTCCTGCAACCCGCTGGAGGGGGAGGCGAGGGATGCGCGAGGGCGGGTATTCACGCGTTCCGAAATCACGCAGCTGCTGCGCTCGCGGCGGGATGCAGGGGCAGTGAAGGTGGTTGTGGGCGCTACTACTCTCCTAATGCGTTTTGTGGACTCGCGCGACCGGGAGAGGTTCATCGGCCAGCTGCAGGGCATGGAAGGCGCGGGCGGGGACACCGAACAGTGGGTGGCATCCACCATCTGCCAGACGGCCGTCGACCTCGGCCTGCTCGACGAGGCAGCGCTGGAGGCCCTCCTGCGAGAGGAGTTCCCACGCGGGGTGGCAGTGGCCTTCGACGCCGTCGGCTCCCTCGTCGACCCGAAGACCTTCCGACTCTGCCCCATCACGGACCAGCTGGAGAGCGATATCTTTCGTCAGGTGCCGATCCTTGCAAAGATATTTGTGCGCCGGGTGACTGACGAGGAGACGCGGCAACGCTTTTGGGAGGCGGTGGTGCGGAAGTACTTCTGCTTTTCACGCACCTTCCTGGAGGAGGAGATGCGGGAGCTGGAGGCGGCGGATACGGTCTCCTCCACCCTCGCCAGTGGAGAGGAAAGCCTTTCAGGCATCAACGTCATGTCGGGTCGGGCGCTGCCGAAGGTCAAGGCGTCTGCCGCGCATGCATTGACCCCTGCGGACGCACCGCCGACGGCGGGGACGCCGTCCCTTGCGCTTCTCTTCTGCGGGCGCCCGACCCCGCACCGCCGCGGCTGGAAGTACTGGCAGTGCGAGCTGCAGCACTCCTTGTGTGCATTTAAGGGAGAGGTCGCCCACCCCGCCCCAGTTTCGCGGGTGCTACCAAAGGAGAGCACCAACCGGGAGACACTGGAGCTGCTCCGAAAGTTCTGGCGCAGGGACAAGCTTCAGAAGCGGGCGCTTCGGTCTAAACTGAATAGCCTCAAATTCACTGGCGGTGGCATGTTGCAGCGCCAGTGTGTCCTGCGAGCGAGGGCGTTTCTGAGGCAACTGGACCTCGAGGGGGAGGAGGAAACGGATGAGTAGGAGGGACGTTGAGAAACACAGATACTCATCTGCTGTGTATTTCATCGGGCGCCACGCTTGCTGTTGCGCGTCTCACTCCGTTGGGACGCGCCACATTTGGAATGCTGTTTTTCCACTTCTCCTGCCTGCTCTTTTTTTTTTTTCTTCTTTCTCTCTCTCTTACTTTCACTCTATCTCCTTCTTTTCTCTTTCACACACAGGCGTCGCGTCAAGGACTCCGATGAGTACCACCATCTCGTGGAAGGTGACTGACTTCTGTCGGCACTTCGGGGTGGAGGCGCCCGTTAACACCGCAGCCATCTCGCCCGCCACTGCACATCAATTCTTTCATCACCTCGTACAGAAATGCGGCATCGCCGTAGACGCCGCCGCTGCCAGACTTCGGGTGCAAAACACGGTCGAGGGCATCCTTCAGGAAGAGGGCTTGGAGGACGACGGCGCCATCGCGCTCGACATCCTGCAAGGACAACCCACGGCGGCGAACGCCGAAACGCTTCGGGAGTATGCCGTGCGGTTTCTGCACGATCGACGGCGGCTCGCCGGTGCTGAGCCACCGGCCGGCAAAGAGGCAGGAAGAATGCAGGTGCCGGCAGAGCGGCGGCAGCGCCCGCGGCTGCCGGAGGTGACCGGGCCAGGGGCGCTGTGGAAGGCGCTGGTCTCAATGGAGGCGGATCTCTTCTCCACCGCGGTGGAGTTGAGCCGCAGGAGCGACGAGCTTGACGAGCGCGAGACGGCGTTGGCGGCGCGGATGCAGGCTGTGGAGGCTGCGGAGGCCGAGCTTCGGCAGAACACCTCCGCGCGAGAGCAGGATGTCTGGGCGATGCAGGCCGATGTTGGGGCGCAACAAGCGTCACTGCTGGTCAAGACCGCCGTGCTGGAGGAGCGGCGGGCGCATCTGGCGCAGACGGAGGCGGCGCTCGATGCCCGGGCGACGGAGACGCGGCGTGAGGAGGAGGCGCTCGCTGCGGAGCGTGTGGCGCTCCAGTCGGCCCGGGCGACGCTGGTGGTAGAGCAGGCCGCCCTTGAGCAGGACCGTCGGCAGTGCGAGGCTGTAGCACACGGCTTTGTCGATCGCGAGCGGCGCCTCAAGGCGGCTGAAGCGATGCTGGCGCGGGCCAAGGACGACCTCACGGCATACGAGCGATCCCTCACGCTTGTGCGGGGGCGGAAAAGTACTGGGAAGGGACGAGGGAAAGAGCGAAGTTAGCGTGCAGCGGGGAGATGCTGTGGGGGTGGTGAGTGCGGGAGGAGGGTGCAGGAACGTCAGTACTTCAGTCCCCCTCTGTCTTTCCTCTACAGTGACGAGCACATATAAGTGTGAGTGTTTCTCGTCCGTTGTCATCGCTTGCTCCAGCATCTTATTCTTTTAGTGTGCGTGCATGTATGTGGACTTTTTCTTTCCACCGCTCTTGCTGTGCCTGCGCTGTGCCGCGAGTCCCGTGGGGCCGCTGTGTGTGTCTGTCTGTGGAGACACGTTTTTGTTGTTGTTTTTTGTTGTTGCTACTGTTCTTGCGCTCCCGATGGCGGGTGGTTGTGATGGTGCAGGGGACACGCGCAGGAAGGAAGGAGGCGAAGCGAGGCGAAGATGGACGCCGTGCAGCACCTGCTGTACACCCTCTGTTGGGTATACGGTGTGGCAAGCTGGTGCATGTGCTTCTACGTTTTTTTCTCCTCCGGCGAGGGCTACCGCTGGTTCACGACGCTGCACAACTACCTGCTGATTCTCGGCGCAACGGGGGCAGCGGCGGCGGCGGTGTTCCTCGACGTCCCCTCGACCAGCATTTTTCTCACGTTTAGCGGTTGGTCCTTCTACGCGATGCTCGTCACCGCGCACTACTGGCGCTTCCGGCTGTGGCGACGGCACATCATTCCCGTGACGGTCCCGCTGCTGTTTCTCTTCGCGTGGGAGGCAAAGCGCACACTCACACCGGCGGCTCTCGTTTAAAATGCAGACGCAGGCAAAGACATGCGCAGGCGGTGATGCAGACGAGTTTCGTTTTCTTTTATTATTATTTTTTATTTTAGCCTTTTTGCTTTTTGTCTCTCTTTTACATGCGTTGTTGCGGTTGCGTCCGTCTTTTGCCACGTTTCTTCTTCTCCTCACTCGGGTTGCACCCCAGAAAGAAAGTTAGCGGATACTCACTCACTCACACTTGCACCTAATCGAGGCAGAGGTGCCTTCCTTGTAGCTTTCGCACAGGCAAATTTCACCCAAAATCCCCCCTCCCCCCTTTACACCACTAGCGAGGATGAGTGAGGCACGCCAGATTCGGAGCATGATTGACTTCATCGAGCGCGAGGCGCAGGAACGGGCGGAGGAGCTCGACGCCGCCGCTCAGGAGGAGTACGACGTGGAGAAGATGCGCCTCGTCGAGGTAGAGAAGGTGAAGGTGCGGGCCGGCACGGAGCAGAAGAAGAAGCAGGTGGACATCGACCGCCGGGTGTCGCGGGCCAACTTCTCCAAGACACAGCGTCTGCGCGTGATGGAGGAGCGCTCGAAGATCATGGAGCAGCTGCGGGAGAACACGCGCCGCCGCATCGTGGCGTTCGTGCAGGACACTAGCAGGTACCACAAGCTGCTGCGCGACCTTATCCAGCAGGCGCTGCTGGGGGTGCGGACGGACGCCGTTGTCCAGACACGCAAGGAGGACGCAGCCGCCGTGAAGGGGATGCTGCGGGACGCGGAGGAATGGTACGCAGCGCGGGCGGGAGAGCGGCTGCGTGTCACACTCAGCGACGACTACCTCGACGCCGCGGAGGCGTGGGGAGGCGTCATCGTCACCTCGCAGGACGGCCACATCATCTGCAATTTGACTCTTGCCTGCAGGATGCGGAACTGCTTCGAGGACCAGCTCCCCGCGATACGGTACTACCTCTTCAACGCCGCCGCCCCTGTCTGAGGAGAGGAGGGAGACAAGCGCGCTGGCAACAACGGCAATGAAGAAAGAAGAAAAAAAAAAAAAAAGAAAAGACATGCGGGAAGGAAGCAAAATAAGACGGGGAAAAAAAACAGGGCAAACGAAGATACTATACGTTAGTCGTCGGTTCTCCACACCGCAGGTGTGTGGAGTAACAAAAAAAAAAACCGTGTCGCGGTGGAGTGAAATTATAGGGATCATCAGAAGGAGGAGGGGGAGTGACGGTTTCCTTCTCTACGTCTCTCTCCCTCTCTTTTATTTTCTTTTTGTTGTTGTTGTTGAAGAACACTGCAGGTGTCTTTTTTTTTTTCGTTTGCGCAGAACCGAAGTCTATGTCGATCTTTCCTCCTCCCTCTCTTTCTCTCTGTGGCTTAGCGATCATTTCACACCGCCGCCGCCTCGTACGCTTTCTCTCTTTTTCTCTGTCCTCCTCTCGCCTGCACGCGGAGGGAGTAAAAACCAAGCATAAGAAGGAGCAAAAAGCAAAAAAGAAAAGGAAAACGCGGCCGAAGGAGACGCATTCGTCCTGGCACACAGCAACAACACTGCAAGCAAGAGGGGAAGTTGCGGAGCCCGGCGGGGATGCAGCAACACAGCAGAGAGGTACTGAAAGATGTCACGACGGCCCTGCAGCTTGAACAGGAACTTCAGCTCTCCCAGGCCCAGCATGGGGTGGCGGTGCTCGATGTGTACAGCTCCGAGTGGGGCAACACCAAGGTGCTGTCTGAGACCTTCCGGCGTCTCTACACGGACGCCGGGGACCAGATGCATTTGCGCTTCTACTCGGTGGAGTGCAACTCCGTGCTGGAGAGCCTTAAGTTCCCTGAGGAGCAGCGCAACCCGCAGCGGCCGAAAAACTTGGAGCTCTGCCGGGAAACGTTGCCAACGTTCTGGGAGGGCATCCTGCTCGGGCGGCGCGGAAAGTCAAAGTCGTACTTTGTCTTCTACAAGGAGGGGAAGCGGCGCGCCTTCATTGAGGGCGTTGACACCCCGAAGATCGTCAGCTGCGTGAGGGAGCTGTGCCGGATTCAGAAGCCGGCAGAGGAGTGCACCTCGAACGCGGAGCTGCTTAAGTTTTGGGACCAATACTTCAGCGCCGCCGAAAGCGAGGTCTTCTTTGAGTCTTTTGTCAGTGCCGTCCAGGACCACATCGCGGCGAAGCGACCATTCACGGAGAGGGAGAGAAAGACCCTTGCGGAGGCCGTCGGAGCAGCGGATGGCAAGGTCTTGATCCAAGCGCTGGAGGCCTGGATCGGCGACAACGAGACGATTGAGAGCGCCTTCACGCACCTGTTTCCTGTCCATAAGGAGGTGCCGGAGGCACCATCCACTGTGCTCAGCGGTGGTGGTGATGGTAGTGTGGACGGCTCAAGGAATAATATGAAGCACGCGGCGGTCAGCGACTGGACAGAGGAGGGCGTCTTTGCGAATGCACTGGAGCTGCCAACGGGTTTGCGGCAACGGGATGCGAAGTGGCGACCAGAGCTCTGGCACCGCGTCGCGGCAACACCGTTGCACGTGCCAGACAACACGCACCTTCTGCTGCTCTCCTGCGAAGAGGGGGAGTCGGAGGCAGCGGCCTGTCTTCAACGCGTCAGCGATATTCCTACACTGCACAATTATCTGGCAGACATGGGCGTCGCAGATGCAGACATTCAAGTCATGTGTCACGCGGCTGCGGAAAGGATTTCCTCCACAAGTCTCGAGTACGGCAAACTGGGTCTGGTTCTCATGCTGTCCGACAGGGGCAGCTGTGAGGAGCTGCTGGGGCGCCAAGAGGGACTGTTCGAACACCTCTCGGAGGGAACACTCATGGCGCAGCACTTGCCGCTCGCCTTCGCGGTCCTCTCCTTGTGCGCGTCGGAGGTGCCTGCCGATACGGAGCTTTACTACTGCAACGATGCCAGCACTGTGCCCGCTGCTGACGGCCTCAAGACGGGCGACGCGGTGGTGTTACCTCCCTTTTCACGCCTGTGTTTGGACCGCGCCGCCGAGGGCGTCTTCACAGTGAAGTTCCTTGGATTACCACAGGTCATTGCGCTCCCCACAGCGGAGACTGAAGGGGAAACGGTCGTCCTTAGCCCGTGGTACGCCAAGTTTCACGTAACAGATCGGGAGGAGAACGCCGTCACACTTACCTTCGCGGGGAACGTGGGTGAAGAAAGCTTTCGGCACTCCGCCCAGCTGTACACTGAACGCCTTGTGGCAGAGGATACGCTGCCTAAACTGGCGGATATAGTTTATGTTCTTGAGCATCCACTAGGCTACGAGCAGGCACCAGAGCCCTTGTCCCTTACAGACCCCCATCTTCTTGACCGCGCCACCGCTGAGCACACACCGGAACACGAGGTTTACGCCCCTGAGAATGCGGTGGACGACAATGATGAGCTTTCTGAGGGGGACGTTGCCAAACTTGCATCCAACGCCTCCCACGAGGCGGACGCGGAGCTTTGAGCGGCTACAGGAGATTTACACTAGAAAAAGCATGAAAACTGCATCTCTCATTCTTGGGTGAAACAACAACAACAAGAATAGACAGCATGTATTACAATGTAAAGGGGCCAAAAAGGTGAACGGAACGATGCTTGTGCGTCCGGCGAGATATTCGAAACTCATCGGAGGCACTTTTTGCTTCCTTCTTATTGTTTAGTTTACTTTGTGTGTATGACTGTTGGTTTTTGCTTCACGCTTGCTGCCGCCTTCATTCAGGGTTTTGTTTTGTTTTGGTAGGGGAGTGCAAGGGCATGCGGGCCTATTATTTGGGGAGTCGGAGTTACCGGGACGTGCTTCAGCTGCAGGAGGTTATCTTTCAGAAGAAAATTGAACGGCAACTAAGGCGGCTTCGTGAAAATTCGGACGAGAGCCTCGTCCCTGACACTGTGCTGCTTGTGGAGCACGATGCACCGGTATACACGGTTGGTAGGCGGGACACCTCCGCAGGGATTCCTGCGAAGTGTGCCGTGGAGGTAGTGAAGACGCGGCGGGGAGGCGGTGTGACCTTCCACGGGCCAGGGCAGGTGACAATGTACCCGATCGCCAATATTCAGCTGCTGTGGAAGCAATGCACGTCGTTGGAGAAGGCGCGCTCGCCCATTGTGTGGTACAGTTCTGTGCTGGAGCAGGCCATGGTAGACACCGCAAAGAACTACAACGTCCCAGCCCACCGGGGGAAGGTTGGGGTGTGGTCCGACCGCTGGCGCAACGCCGCCCCGCGGAAACTTGGCTCTATTGGTCTTCAACTGGGGAGCTGGGTGTCGATGCATGGGGCGGGTTTTAACGTTTGCAATGATCTTCGCTACTTCAATGATATCATTATGTGCGAGATGCCGGACGCCGCGGCGACCTCGTTGGTGGAGGAGATGCGCCTGCGGGGTCTCGGTGAGGCCGAGCCTACCCCCAGAAGTGTCGCCCCCTTGCTCCTCGACAACTTTTTAATGAACCTTCGCCAGCAGGAGAACATCGTGTCGACGAAACTCCTTGATGTCTCGGGGGTTGCAGATTGGCGGCATCGCGTTCTCCACTGCATCGAGTGAGGCGTGCCCGCGGGTCTTGTCGGTAGGCGGGTTGCCTCTGCCGCCTGAAAACGCCGCGTAAACGTCCGCAGCTGGGGCAGACCCGCGGGCCACGCGGAGTGACTATTCAGCGCTACATTTTGAAAACATGTCTGTCGTGCGTGTCTGCGAGAGCGAGGAAGAGAGGGTGGTGTCGCCGTCGCATTGCGGGGGACCACTGCCGTGGGCTGCGATCGCGCGGTTCGGCGGCGATGTGTGCCGCATTAGTGGTCCGTGTGACGTGTGCAACACGGTCGCAAAGGAAAAAAAGAGCGTGGGTGGGATGGGGAAGGCATCTTGCCGGGATTGGCAAGGAATTAAAGGGAGCGAACTCACAGAGCCAAGACACACGAGTTTGCCTACTATGACCATTGTTATAATCTTTCATGGGAGTAAGCAGCGGAGCACCTATGCTGGGTTGCCGCCCCGGAGCCGTTCCCCGTGCTTCTTTTTTTTTTTGCTTTTGTTTGCTTGATTTTGTTTATTTCTGTTTCACAATGTGTTCCACGGTTGATGCTCAGCTTCCTCTACAATGGGGGCTAGAGAAGCATGACAACATACTGGGGCTTCAAGCTTACGGATATCATGGGCCTCAGCTTTGTCAATCCGGATCAGTTAACGGAGGCCGACAGCACCACGTTCTACGGTGCGTATGTCACGCACTGGCCCGAATATAAACGCATGTGTCTCTTCACTTGACGACAGGCATTTGCATGGCGTACACACTTGGCGGGGCCGAGGGCTTCCACGGGCACGTATCTGCAGTCACAGTCGCACCAATGTTTTGTCGTCTGGGTTTGGAGGGGGCGCTCATGACGGGGCTTGAAATCACAACATCTCCTGCCTTCATAACGCGTATTTTGTGGACTTGTTTGTGCGCTAAAGCAATAAAGCTGCTCGTGAGATGTACCAGAAACTGGGTTACATTGTCTACCGACGCACGCTTGGCTACTAC